AAACTTTTTAACATTGCCTTATGGTTAGGGGAATTGATTCAATATGACTGTGGCACTATTGCTATGGCCATTTGAATTTCAATGGCTTAAAGACACTTTAACAAAAGAACATGGTGATTGGTCTTCCTAATATTATTCATTTCAACAAGGTGTGTGAAAATTATATTGTTGGCAAGCAACATCGTAAAGACTTTCCACAAAGAAAATCATAGAGAGCACAGAAGGTCTTGGAGCTAGTACATTCTGATCTTTGTGGACCAATAAATCAATCATTAAATGGAGGTAAACGATACTTCATGATCTTCATCAATGATTGTGGTTGAACAACATGGGTTTAATTTTTGTAGGTCTTAAACTGGATGATGGCACTAGCATGTTCAGTCAGAAAGGCTCTTTCTTTCACATTCAATCTCCTTTTGACTGTGCATAAATCCTTAAGAAACTTTGCATAAGATGGAACTTGTTTAATTGCATCAAGGAGTGGAATATTGACTTTTACTTGTTTGAACAATTCATAGATTTCTGAGTTCATAAGATCTTGTTTAGGTTTCCCTAACCTTTGTGGAAATGGTGCTCTAGGAACAAATTCTAAATCACTCACTTTGACTTCAATTTTTCTTGAATCATCTCCTTTCTCACTCATCTCTTTCTCATTTAGCTCAACTTCTTTATCTCTCAAACTCTCATTTGTCACTTGTGTTTTGATTCCCTCTTCACTTTCCCTAGATTTCTCCTCCACAATACCTTTAGGAATCCTAAAACCTATACCTTTGTCAACAATCTTTCCACTTCTAAGGGTAGTGATGGCTTGGACTTGTTCATGGTTTGAAGGTTCACTAGGTGAGGATTCACTCATGTGTACTTGACCTCTAGGATTGGGCATTGGTTAAGCTGGGATTTTTCCCTTCTCTTGAATGCTTAGTGATTGAGTCAACTTAGTTAGTTGACTTCGAATGTCGTCTAAGGTCCTATTGGTCTGGTCTTGGAATTTGTAAACTTGGTTGTTGATTCCTCCTTGCGTTTGCATGAATTGTTGAAGAGTATCCTCTAAGGATCTCTTATGAGGTGGTTGGTATGTGTTATGTGTGGGAGCATGAAATGGTTGGGGTGGAGGTTGAAATGTTTGAGGTACTGAAGAGCCCTCATTTCTCCATCCAAAATTTGGGTGGTTCCTCCATCCAGGATTATAGGTCTCAGAGTAGGGATTGCCTACTTGGTTTGAAAATGGCTTTCTAACATTACTTGAATCAGAAGTTTGGCCATATAGCACTTCCTTAAAGGCTGGAATGGTAGGACACTCAGTTGTCCTATGCCCTTTGCTCTCACAAACAACACAACTTTCCTCTTGTTGTTCACTTATGACATGCACTTTTTTAATCTCAAGAGACTCTACTTTCCTAGCCAATGAGGCTAATCTAGCATTGAGGTCATCAGTCTCTTTCAATTGAAACTTCCCACTTGAATGAGAAATGGTGTTTCTAGACTCAAAATGAACTGGGAGAGAAGTCTCCCATTGCTTTGTGTTTTCAGACAATTGATCAAAAAAATCAAAGGCCTCACTTGGTTCTTTGTCATAAAACTCACCATTACACATGGTTGACACTAGCTTTTTAAAATCTGCGGTAAGAGAGTCATAAAAGAAACTCACTAACCTCCACATCTCAAAACCATGATGAGGGCATGCATTTAACAAGTCTTTGAACCTTTCCCAAGCTTGGTGAAATGACTCATTTGGACTACAAGAAAAATTCATCATTTGACGTTGTAAAGCTGTTGTCCTATGAGTGGGGAAGTATTTTTTAAAAAATTCAGCTTGCATTTCTCTCCATGTACCTATAGACCTAGGACGCAAGGAGTTTAGCCAAAGCTTGGCTTTATCCTTTAGAGAGAATGGGAACAATTTGAGCCGAATGGTTTCCTCTGTGCATGTTCTATCAATAAAAGTATTACATACCTCTTCAAAGTCTTTAATGTGTATGTATGGATTTTCAGAATCCATACCATGAAATGTGGGAAGAAGTTGAATCATGCCCGATTTCAAATTGAAAGCTTGTTGGTTAAGAGGTAAGATAATACACGAAGGTGTACTTTGTCTAGCTAGGTGAAGATACTCTCTAAGAGTTTGAAAATTAGGTTGATCATTGAATTGTGGAGGTCCATTACCTTGAACACTCCCTTCACCCTCTACATCTTCAACATTAGCCATGATAAAATAATAATAATAATAATAATAGTATAACAATTATATGAATATGAAAGGAAAGGAAAGAAAAAAAAATGCAAATAAAAGTAATAGCTCAAAAATAAAAATACAACAAATTAAGAAATTCACTCTCCAACTAATAAGCACTATTAACAACAATAAACATTAAAAGATAATTATAAGAAGCTTGAATAAAAAGGCGGTGATACCGGCCAAGCACTTTAGACAATAAATATAAGAAAAATAACAACAATAAACATTAAAAAATAATGATAACAAGCATGAATAAACAAAAGGCAGTAATACCGGCCAAGCACTTCAAACAATAAATATAAGAAAAATAATCATAACAAAACAACAAAATAAAAAGGAAATAAACAAGAGATGGTAATACCAACCAAGCACTTTAGACAATAAATATAAGAAAAATAACAACAATAAACATTAAAAGATAATTATAACAAGCATTAATAAAAAAAACAAAGGCGGTAATACCGGCCAAACACTTTAGACAATAAATAAAAATAAAACAACAAAATAAAATGAAATAAACAAGAAAAATATTAGAAACTAATAAGAATAGACAATAAAATAAAAATGGTTGAACCAACCAAAATCCAACAATTAATAGTCCAGTCCACAGTCCAATATCCGAAATGTTAAGGTCAATTTTTTTTTGAGGCGGTAAAACCAGACAATTTAATTTTTTTATATGATTTTTTTTTAGTTTTCCAATAATCAAATCTAAATTTGTTACCTTTGCTTGCTAGGTCCCCGACAACAGCGCCAAAATTGCTTGACCGCTTTTTATGATCGGCTTGTTTTAACTCGCAAGTGCATGAGTGTGTGATGTAGCAATTAACTCGATAAGATCGAGGTCATATCCACAGAGAGCTAGATCTGGAAATTAAGCTAAGTAACAAAAAAAAAACTCAAGAGAAATTAAATTAACAATAACTTGGTTGAAAATAATTGATGGATTTGTTTTCAAAGATAAAAAAAATGTAAATAGATTTTAAATGACAAGAAAAGTAAGTCTTGGTCCAAATCAATTTTAATGGTGATGTATTGGTGATTTCTTCAACATATATAAGATAACTCAACCTAATATCAACGATGGTGATATTAGATCAGAAGATTTTACAATGAAGATTAGAAAGATGAAGATTGATTATTGCTTAAGAATGAACAAGTACTTTCATATTAAGTAAGACATTGAATCAAGCAATCTCTATACCAAAACTAAAGTTTGTGCATAAAAATTCAAGATTATAACATTACCTAAATTATTTCTAAAATTTCTTTACAATAATAAATCATTCATGAAGAAAATAAGAAGATAAACATTAAGATTCATTCATATCCTAAAGAACTCACCTCAATCACCATTATCCTTGATTTGGATCCAAGAAAGAGTTTAGCCAACCATGATTATATATAAGAACACTTCAATAAACATGAAAGAACTTGAATCCAACTAAAATAATAAGTTTTACAAACTAAAGAACCGAAATCTATAAAGAAGAACACAATACAATTTCAGAAAAAATTCGGACACAAATCTGACTCTAACTTTGGACAGCAATTCGACCCTCTTAGAAGCTTTTTTTCGAGAAGTCTATTAGAGACATATTTATAGGAAATTCTGTCACCTTTCCAGATCATTAAAGAACAGCTCATTTGGACAACACCTGAGTCAAAAGTTATGGGCAAAACACCGAAAGGTGTTCTGAAAAATCAAATCAAGACAGCTTTACAACTACTTTGGTGCATGTTTTTCTTTCTCATTTATGAGGTGTCTCCTTGTTTTTGACCCAAAATAATGTTAAAATATCCCCTCCAGCTTTCCATCCATGTGCTTGCCTTCTTGGATCAATGGATTACCCAAAATAAATCAATTGTTATTTGTTGTGTGGACATGTAAGATCATGGATTGTGTTTGGGTTGATTTGAAGGTTGATTTGGGGTTGATTTAGGGCTGATTTGGGGCTGATTTTGGGCTGAATTTGAGTATCAAATAAGTATACAAATGTACTTATTATTTGGGCTAAGATTGACATTGAAACCTTGCGTGTTTAATGGTTGAAGTTTGCACACAACATAAGGCAAGTTTGGGCTTGAAATAAATCATATGATATTCTTTTCTAGAATTGGAATAGAATTGATTTTTGGGACAAATTTGGAGCACTTATTTGTACCAAGATTTGCTTCAATCTTCAACTAAATGTTTCTTCAATTCTTTGTTCTGAATTCCGACGTTGAATTTTCTGAATTAATTCATTTAAGCTCCAAAAACCTATCGAAACATTAAAACAAACTTCATTACTAAAAAACACATCAATTATTATAAAAACAACCAAATAAAAACAATAAATACATATGTAAAACAAGAGACTTAATGACACTTTTGATGCACAATCACTCATGATATTAGTTCTCTCAAACTATCTTATTCTCCACCCACCATGCTTGACATCCAGCATGTCAAAGGTTTTGAACAACATGTTGAGCTTCATGAACCTTTACCCTTAACATGTGGTGACAAAGATAAAGATAATCTTGATTTACTAAGTTATATCCAAACTATATCTATTAAGGCTTCCAATAGTGTTTGTTCCACTCAACATCCTTAATCATATAGTATTCATGGTTATGAACCTAAAAAGCATGTAGATTATCAATTTATGTCTCATTACCTTAAAATGTTTGATTTAGTTGAATCTTTTGCATGTAAAATTTATAATTTGCATATTGAGATCAGAAAACAAATTCAAGTAAATAATGAATATACAAATTTTGAGCTGATTTATATAAGTATCATAATGTACTTAATGTTGGAGATTATTTCATGATACAAATTAGACCTGAACAGTATCCTTTGGAAACCAGTCCTAAATTGCAAGTGAGTAGTACTAGAATATTCAAAGTGTTACAAATGATTGAATTAAATAATTATATCGTTAAATTGTTACTAAACTTTGATATTAGCTCAACTTTCAACACAAAAGACCTCGTTATATATAAAACACAACAGTCTATCCCTTATGTTCCTTTCAAAATGCTTGCCCTATTATCCTTACCTTTGGCATAAAAGGAACATATTAATGTTATTTTGAATGCATAAATTGTTTTTACTAGGGATGATGAACTTCAATAAATCTCAGTATATGAGCTAAACAATCAGATTTAGACTATATTTGGATTATTAGAGAGACATCACAATAACTTAATCCTTATTTTTGAGAGCGTTGTCGGAGTTGCCTTGACCTATATTCGACGAGGTAAAGTTCTTCCAACCCTCGGAGAATTGGTGGGGACACCAAACCCGAAATATTGTTTACGCACTTGTATGGTCATAAACAGTAGAGGATAGCCAAAACCATTGAGATATTAGGCTTTATCTTATGTTTTAGTTTAATTTATATGAACTTTTAATTGAGATTTATTAATTAGGTTTAATTTAATTATTGTAAGTATTTTATTTAATAGACCATAAATCAAATCAATTGTTCTAATTAGGATTTTAGTATTTATATCCTATTTTTTTTTAATATTAAGTAGTTTTATATGAATGAAATAAGAATTGTAAGGTTATATATTTCTCAATCCCATATTCTTTTCTCTCTTTGATTTTTTTTCTTAACTAAAACATTAAAACAAACTTCATTACTAAAAAACACATCAATTATTATATAAACAACCAAATAAAAACAATAAATACATATGTAAAATAAGAGACTTAATGACACTTTTGATGCACAATCAGTAGGATAAGTCTGAAGCTTTTAATGCATTTAAAAACTTCAAGACACATGTTGAAAATGAAGTAGAGAGAACCATTAAAATTCTTTGTTCAAAAGAGTTTCAAGACTTTTGTGATGAACATGGAATTCAAAGACACTTGACTGCAACATACACACCACAACAAAATGGAATATTAGAGAGAAAAAACCAAACCATTATGAATATAATGAGATGCATGTTGACACATATGAGTGTTCCGAAGAATTTTTGGCCAGAAGCTGTGAAATGAAGCATTCATGTTTTGAATTGTAGCTCTACATTTGTTGTTCAAGCCTAGAGTGGATGAAAAGCATTAGTTGATCATTTCAAAGTGTTTAGATGTATTGCATAAGCACATGTTTCAGATGAGAAGAGAAAGAAGCTAGATAATAAAGGCGTAAAATGTGTATTCCTTGGAATTAGCAAGCACTCAAAAGCCTACAAATTATTCAATCCTATTACAAAAAGAATTTTCATCAGTCAAGATGTTGTGTTTAAGGAGGATAGCACTTGGAATTGGATAGAATAAAGTGCAAACTAGCAACAAATACTAGTTTGTTTGATGAAAAAGAGGTAGAAGTACGTGAAAAATCATACCAACAACTACAGCACTAGCAGTCTACAAAGCCTGCATTCAGACGAGGAATTACCATAGCTGAGTCATAATAAAGATCAACAAGCTCAAGAGAGTTCACGATCTCAATGAAGCAGAAGAAGGCCAGTTTGGATGGAAGATTATGAGGTGAGAGGTGTTGTTCAATCTCGTGAACAATCCCAAGAGGATTCACAATCTTAATGAGGCAGAAGAAGGCTAGCTTAGATGGAAGATTATGAGTTGAGTGGTGTTGTTCAATCTGATGATGTTTTTTATCATTATGTATTTTTATCATATTATGATCTTATCACATTTGAAGAAGCTACTAAAGAGTCAAAATGGCAAAAATCCATGGATGAAGAGATCGTGTCAATTGAAAAAAAAAATAGTTGGGAACTAATCAAACATCCTGAAGGACAAGCATCCATTGGTGTTAAATGGATTTACAAAACCAAACTGAAGAAATATGGCAAAGTACACAAGTATAAAGCCTGACTTGTTGCAAAGGGGTACAAGCAAAAATTTGATATTGATTACAAAGAGGTAGTTGCACTAGTTGCAAGAATGGACACTATTCGATTGGTATTATCAATTATTGTTCAAAATTCATGGGGTATATATCAACTTGATGTAAAGTCTGCATTCTTGCATGGAACATTGGAAGAGGAGGTATACACTGATCAACCTCCTAGATATGTGAAATAAGGTCATGTGGATCAAGTATACAAATTAAAGAAAGCATTATATGGACTCAAACAAGCACCAAGAGCTTGGCACATCTGTATAGATGCTTATTTTAATAAGGATGATTTTCTTAATTGTCCTTATAAGCATACTCTATATGTTAAATCTAAAGTTGATAAGGTGTTAGTTATATGCTTATATATTTATGATCTCATTTTTATGGGTAATGATAGATCCATGTTTAATGAGTTTGAGAATTCTATGATAAAGGAATTTGATGTGACAGATTTGGGGTTGATGCATTATTAGTTGTGTGCAATCATCTGATGGTATATTTATGTCATAGAAAAAATATGCTCTGGAGATTTTAGATAGGTTTAAAATGACAAATTGCAATTCAGTTTTCACCCCAACTAATCTCAGCTTGAAACTCATCAAAGATGATGCTGGAAAGAAAGTGAATGCTTCTTTTTATAAGCAAATAGTTAGGAGTCTTATGTATTTAATATCAACCAGGTCAGATATCATGTATGTTGTCAGCTTAATCAGGAGATATATGGAGTGTCCAATTAAAGCTCACCTCTTGGCTGCAAAAAGATTTTTTTGCTACAGACTATGGAATCTTATATAAAAGTGATAGAAACTCAAGTTTGATTGATTTTTCAGATAATGATTATCCGCAGATAATGATTGTCTGAAGATCTTGATGATAGAAAGAGTACTTCCAAATTGGTGTTTATGTTAAATTTTGGAGTTGTTTCATAGTCATTAAAAAGATAACAAATAGTAGCTTTGTCAACTATTGAAGCTAAATTTGTTGTTGCAGCATCAACTTCAAGTCAAGCAATTTTATTATGCAGGCTACTTGACTTCTTACAAAACCATCAACAACAAGGTCCAACCTTAATTTGCTGTGATAACATGCCCACCATAAAGCTTTCAAAGAATCCATTACTTAATAGGATAAGTAAACACAATGACATCAGGTTTCACTTCTTACGTGATCTATGTAAGGAAGGTGTTATTCATGTGGTGTTCTGTAAGAGTGAAGATCAGATTGCAGATATATTAACTAAGCCTCTATAGATGCCATCAGAGAAGGAATAGTAGTTGTCAATTCCTAAACCAATATCTATAGATATTAGTTTAAAGGATGTGTTAAAAATAAGTTATGTTGCTTATGATTTTGAGTTTATCTATAGTAAGTAGTGGGAGACCTATTTTATAGGAAATACCTACTTTTTTGGAGTTCAATCCACGTTTAAGGTAGTGGAGATTTTATTGTTATTCTGTTACTATTTCATTGTTACTGTACAGTGACATGACCAAAAGATTGATGTATCCTCCCAAGTGTAGGAGTGTCGAAGTAATAAATAACTCATAAGACTAGGGTCTAACCATAGAAAGGTCAATTGTATAAATTATAAATAATAACAATACAACAACAACAATAATAATAATAGAAGAAAAAGAAGAAATTGATAAGAACTTTGAGATAGAAGATTAATGTAAAGATTAAACAATAATTATAACTTATGTTAACAATAAATGTCAAGGTTAGAGGATCCACTAATAGTATTTCAAATAAATATACTATAAACTCTTATTATTCAATTACATACAAAAGAGGTTCCAATTAGATTATAACTTGTTAATGTGATTACATTAGTTATCTTATTTGAATAATGTTAATACTTGTAAATATTGTCAGGCATTCATGATTATAACTTATGTTAACAACAAATCAAGTTCCTCTCATAGCACAAGTGTTAGTTATACCATACGGTTGGGTTATGAAAGTGCCAAGTAATTATTATACCAAGTGTTATACAACACAAATCTAGATTAATCATTTAACAACCAAAGTATTAAAAGTGGATAAGATAATAAATACAAAACATGTTAGTATCAAACATTAAAGTCCATATTGAATTTACACTATACTTATTATTACACCATTAGTGTAACCTTTTTACCTTGACATAATAAACTTAACTCAACATAATGAAAGAGAGAAACATAAATAAGATAAAAGTTAACTAAGTAAAGGAAAAGAAATGAAAGGCGTAAACAAGATATTAATGAAAGCAAAAATTAAGCATTACAAAAATACAAAAAAAGAAAGCAAGAGCATGATCTTTATCTGGAAACCAAGATGCCTAAATGCATGGCAAATGCCAAAATTGGAAACTATTGATTTGATGATTAATTGATGAGTGGGTGGCCAACTCTTGATTTGATGACAATCCTTATCTTCTCTTATCTGAATAAAATGTCATTGATCACATTAGAATTTGAACTAGACCTCTACATGAAAGTTGTAGGAAATTGTCTCAGCTTTCCAGGAAAAATAATTGAGGTCATTGGGACTTCTAGAACTCAAGATATGGGCTAAACACTGAACAATATCTAGGCTATAGGACAAATTCAGAATTCTTCATTGTTGCTACAATTTGGACTTGAAAACAGCCTTATTAAAACCAGACTTACAAATGAAAGTTGTAGGCCTATGTCTTACCTTTCCATCCATATAAAGTAGACCTAAATCCTAGATCTAGAGCTTCATATATGACCTAATTACCGAATAGTGTTCCAGTTTAGACTACACCAGCATCTTTTTTCTAAGTTTGGCTATCTCTTTGTCCTTTCAATTTTACTATTTAAACTCATCAATCAATCCTTTTATTTATGTGATAGACCTGTCTTTAAGATTAAAATTTAGCACAAATTAAAGGTGCCTTATATTATTAGATATGTTATTATAAAATATGTTTTAGTTAAGGAGTTATTGATACTCTAAGTGCAAAATGATGATATAAAACCCTGATAAAAATGCGCTTTTAAGTACTAATCACACCCCTCAATCATTTTATTACTAGTCTCTAGTAATCAAAGTGTTAAAATAGAAAAACAATTTGCAAATTCCACAAAGCAAGGCATTCATCATTCAACTTCCATTAATCTATCCAGATAAACAAACTCTCATTAAATTTATATATCTACTCAATACCTCTTAAACAAGATATTAATAAACCTTCCTTTTATGCTAAATATATTAACACATAGTTATGGAGCTTTACTTGAAAGAAAACAAAATTTTTATTCTAATATTTAAGGTTAACCTTCTTGGGTTGGAATTGTTATCTTTCTTTTTTTTTTCTTTTTTTAATATACAAATAACTTAAAAACACAATAAATCTTTAACCCATATAACAAGCTTTTGGCTAATGACTTCCAGACTAATTGGTGTTAGGGCATTAGATGTTGAGACACCCCTTCGAGCTTAACAACTCGGGTTGTAGATACTGATATGTAGATAGTGCAATGTTTGATTTCCTTAAGTTTTTCTTCTCAACTCTTGTAACAAGCGTTGGGCTAATAGCTCCCAAGTCAATTGACTTTAGGGTATTAGGTGTTAAAACACCCCTTCAGGCTTAATTGCTTAGGTTAGGGAGGTTAGGAAACCAAACTTATCTATATTTTTATTATCATCATCTTTTTGTTTTTTTTTTTGCAATTTATATACTATCTCTTTCCCCTAGTTGTTACCTTTAACAAAAGAACTTAAATAATGTAATAATGCAATGTGCAACACACAATCATATCTTAAAGTGTATATATGAAAATGAAGGTTAAAAAATACTTGTTAAATGAGTATATGAGCATAATTAAATGATAACAATATGAGAGTTTATAAACCTGAATATTTCAAGAAGTATTTTGATAAACCTTGTTATGAATATTGTAAATAACTATTGAAAAATATTAAGCAAGATACCTCTCAAGAGTCAATAAAATTCCTCCTTACTCTACCATCTTAGTAACAACTATTTGTAAATGGTATATGAAATAGAAAACACAGTTAGTTTTTTTTTAATATGAACTACTGCCCTCTTCCCCAAACCAAAATGAAACATTGTCTTTAATGTCCTACGATAAAAAGATAGAGTATAGAAGATATCACTTGAAACACTAAACACTGATAAGCCTGAAACACACTTAAACAAATATAAAAAATAACAAAAAACAAATATTATGCTCTTAATAAAACTAAAAGACATAAGGATTCATAAACAAAGGCTCAAATCCAATCTAAGCTTTTTACGGCTTTCCTTAATTGACTAATTTATGCAACTCATTGAGGGATCAATTACAGGAGTGAAAGATTATAGTTGGTCAATTAATTGTTCAGCAGTAGAGATTATGATTTGTCATGCCGAAGATGTTAGAAATTTCTGTTCCACAACATGGTCAAGAAAAGACAACAATTTATCATAAAAATCATTAACATTTAACATATCTATGGGTTTATGGTGAATGTCCAGTTAGGCCCAAGAGGAAATATGAAAGATCTCTTTTAATGTTCTTAGACCACCTAGTAAGGCATTAAAGGTATTAGTGTGTTTAAACATTACATTCATTCGATCCGATATTATGGAGACCTGTAGTTCCTCTTAAATTGTTTTTCCAATGATCTCCCCTTATGCTAAACCTTTGGAGATGACCCACAAAACTTGACTATCTTCTAAAAATACAGCTATTGACACTGCTCCATTAACCTAGGCTACCCCCTATACATTAAATAAATATTTCTCTCAGCTAGTACCTGACCAAGATGATTTGTTGATTCTAAAAACTCTATTTTCTTTTTAAGACTTGATCCACTGAAAACATAAATGTTTCTTATGTGATGACTTGAGAAACTTGTCATTTTCTACACACTTCTATATCTGTTGAATGGTTGAGTAGAAATGAAGGGAAGGAAGAGAAGATTTTATAGATGAGAAATTAAAAATGCAATCATATCACCTATATATAAGCCAACTGAATTCCAAACATATCTTCATGAAAACAAAATTACATCTTTCTCTTGTTTTAAAATGCATAATGGATAGTATAATCAATTTATGATTATCCATTAGGGTTTGACCAAAATATCAAAAATCATTTTCTAATCTTTTTTTTTTAGGATTTAGATGTAGACTTGAATAATTTGTGCCATGTAAGACTATACGATAGAGTATACACTCAGGTATTAAAGATACAATGTGCAAAAGAAATATGATACTAAAATTAAGACTTTAGAATTATTAGGATTTAACTCGATAAGGTAGAGACTCTCTTACGAAGAGAGATTTACCTTGAACCGTAGAAGAGACCATTATATAGAAACTTGACCTTCAGAAACAATAAAACAATAATGCAACTTATCTAAGGTATGGTGCACTAGGATGATGTGTCTTCCCCTTACACAAATAGTGCCTTAGACTTTTCCAGACTAGAGGTTCCTAGTAATCATAATATTAGGTGGTGACTTCTGAAATTTAATCATGATTTTATGATTAAGCCTAAACCATTTCTTTTCCCAACAACAATACCACTCACGAGGAATGAAAAGCTCATCGTCACCCTTAACATCACCCTTCGCGATAATTGCCAAGCAAGCATGAGAAGTTTTGAAATAATCAAATCAAGGAGCTGATAATATGAGAAAAATATGTCTATAAAAGTATGCGATGAGTTTAAAAAGTTACTTATGCTTGAATCGGAGAATATTTAAGAATACTTTACAAGAATATTAACCATATACAATCAAATGAAGTGATATAAAAATAAGATAGAAAAGAAATGTGTGCTAGAGAGATCCTATTATGTAATGGTCGCGTTAGAGGAGTCACAAAAAAAAAAATGTTCTTTCAATTTTAGCTTTTATGAGAAAATTACATGTCTATGACGAAAGAGTTAGTAAGATTCAAGAAGAAGTTGGTGCATAAACCCTTTCTTCAAAGGAACATGGTTTTGGATATTCACAAGGAATATAAGACATAGACAAAGCAAAACACAATGGGGATGAGGATAATTAGAACAATCGGGATGAGGATTTCAATTGCACTTAACATTTTTTTTTACTTCTAGCCCTTCTTAATAGTTATACTGGGGGTACGCTAGTATTATCTGACCTTGATCTTGGCATTGGATAACCTCAAGTAATGTTTGTTCAAGAACAGCAAGCAACTGTTGTCTCGGAACCTAATATGTAAACAAAAGGGAAACTTAAACCAAATGAAAATCAATGTGAGGATTAAACAATGTCAACGTTAGAGGATATTAATACATCATCATCATCAACAACAACAACAACAACAACAACAATAATAATAATAATAACAAAGAAGAAGAAGAAGAAGTTGATGAGAACTTTGAGATAAAAGATCAATGTCAGGATTAAACAATGTCAACGTTAGAGGATCCACTAATGATATTTGAAACAAGTATAGTATAAACTCTTATTATTCAATTGAAAACCACACACAAAGAAGGTTCCAATTGGATTATAAATTATTAACATGATTACATTAGTTATCTTTTTTGAATAATGCTAATACTTGTAAATATTGTTAGGCATTCATGATTATAACTTATGTTAACAACAAATCAAGTTCCTTTCATAGCTTAGGTGTCGGTTATACCATACTGAGAGAAAGCAAGAGCATGATCTTGATCTGGAAACCAAGATGCATAAATGCATGCAAATGCATGCAAATGCCTCCTTTTATAGGCCAAAATTAGAAACTATTGATTTGATGATTAATTGTTGAGTGGGTGGCCAACTCTTGACTTAGTGACAATTCCTATCTTCTTGTCTGCCCAAAACATCATTGATAACGTTAGAATTTAAACCATACCTCCGTATAAAAGTTCTAGTAAATTGTCTCAACTTTCCAAAAAAAAAAACTTGAGATCATTTGGACTTCTAGAATTCAAGATATGGGCTGAACACTGAATAGTGTCTGGACTGTAGCATAAATTCAGAATTATTTATTGTTGCTACAATTTGAACTTGAAAACAACCTTTTTAAACTTAGACTCCCATGAATGTTGTAGACCTATATCTTACCTTTTCATCCATATAAAGTAAACCTAAATCCGAGATCTACAGCTCTAAATATGACCAAATTACCGAACAGTATTCTAGTTTGGACTGCACCAACATCTCTTTTCTAAGTTTGGCCATCTCTTTGTCCTTTCAATTTCATTACATAAATTTATTAATCAATCCTTTTATTTATGAAATAGGGCTGCATTTAAGATGAATATTTACCACAAATTAAAGGCATCTTATATTATTAGATATATTATTATAAAACATGCTTTTAGTTAAGGATTTATTGATGCTTCAAGTGCAAAATGATGATATAAAACCTTGATAAAAATACACTTTTAAGTACTAATCACAAGCGTTTTCTCAAGAGTGCGCCAAACATAATGTAGGGTAAAGCAATCTACCACGAGATGCAACACATCCACGGAGAGAAAGGAGAGTAATGCACTTAAAAAAATTTAATCATGTTACTTCCAACGAAAAAAATATGGGTTGATTGTTGAGGAAGAACCAACATAACTGTTAGAGACATGAGATGGCGGACATGACACTAGGCCATCAACAAAGTGAAAAACATCTTCTCCAAAGAGATGTGGCTTCATCTGCATTCACCAATAGAGATAATTTACGTTCTTATATTTCAACAAAACAACTTGGTGGGTGTTTGGGAGAGTAATGATAGTTGGAGTTTATGTTCCCATAATAACTTGGTGGGTGTTTGGGAGAGTAATGATAGTTGGAGTTTATGTTCCCATAATATACAGAGGAACGACAAAGACTTGTGTGAAGGAGTTATTGACTTATTCTACAAGGGAAGGCTACTAATGTGGAGGAAGAACACCACCGGCAACAATTTATAGATGGTTGACTAGTGGTGAGGGAGAAATTGGCTACAATGCCTATAGAGTCCATTTAAGAGAGGAGGAGAGAAGGTTTGTTGCAAGGGAGAGAGGGAGAGAAGAGATATGATGGCAGAGGGCTCTGATACCAAGTTAAGAATAATTAGAAGGCTTAACCTATTGGTTAGTCAATCATTTCTATATAAGCTTGAAGTTTCCTTTGTAACTCCTGGAACTTCTTTGTAGTGTCTTCGTTCCATGCCTCATTTCATATGGAACCTCAAAGTGGCTCTATTTCATTATATTCCATTCGTATCAGAATTCCATTCATTTAATATCCCATTTCTTTGGTGTCATTGACATAAGAGACGTCGTTTCTAGTCTATCTGTTTCTATTTCTATATATTTGGAAAGTTTCAAAATCATCATATATGTGTAGGGCAATATACAATAGTAATGGTGGAGGTTACCACACAAGAGTATGACAACAATATTTTCTATATATAATATTTCCTATATAGGTACATTCTATAATAAAACCACAACTAACTCATCAGCATCAACATCACTAAAACTATTATCGAAGAAATGAAAATTTGAATTTTTTTCTAAGTCAGCAACTAGATATGGTTTAACAAACTCATTAACTTGAAAGACATCATCTCCCACACTAGTATCTTCATTCTCATCTTGAATAACCTTGACACGACCTTTGGGTTCAACTCTTAAATGATCCTTTCTAAGGGAAGGGTGATAAATTTGTTGGCATTGCTCGGCAAAAACAAAGACATTATTTATGTTGCAGCATCTAGTTTTTGAGTTAATTTTGATTAGACCATAGTAGGGCTCTACTCTGATTCCTCTATTAGTGGTGTCATATCAATAACTTTTGAATAACAAACACTTTATTATACTCGTTATGATACTGCAATTCCACGACCCCTTCTAATTTACCATAATAACCAATTTCAAACTCACTACAAGTTCATCCTTTAAAACAAACACAACTGTTAATCTGAATTGGATTGTTAGTATTGGTATGACTGTAAATAAAAATATAAACTCCGGTCTCATACACATTTTTGGTGGCAACTTGTAAACCATGAGTAACTAGCAAATAAAAATAAGAAGCAACAAATAACCCAAATAAGTTGGCTTTGTTGTACACAACTCAGGACACATCTTTCTTAATTCAGCTGAAAAATTAATCAATAATTTTAAAATGGACTTGTTAGTAGCTAAACATGTTGGAAACAAAATTTTAAGTTTTGAATTCTTTTAGGAAGACACCGGAAATATAAAAAATGAAACCCATGTATCAAGAACATCTTTTTTGGATTTTTTTTATTGCATTTTGCAATTATTTTGGTTTTCAGAAAAATAAAAAAAAAGATCAAAAAATGTGGTTATGACATTCTCATTATTTCACCTTCTAGTTCATGTGTTGAACGAGTACAAAGATTTGGAATATTTGTTACATTTAATTAAGCGTGCTCTTGTTCGACAAAACTACAAATTATTGTCCTACAGCGAAGAGTTTTTGTATAGGTTAAAAGCTTCGGGACCACTTTGCTTAGTTAGCCAGCGCAGAAAAGTTGTTTTATTCATGCTGATCAAATAGGTTAAAAGCTTCGGGACCGCTTAGCGAACAGAATGCGTGTTTGCCAAATGGTTGTGATTGTGAATAATTATATCTAGGAAAAAAAGCATATAGACACCCATAGTCCGTAATTTTTCTTCATGAATTGCCCAACGCAGACAGTAGCAAGAAAAATATAGGACAGTTAACTTCTACCATATATATTCATATCTTATTATTGTTATATCAAACTTAAAAAGATTGGGAACCATGGAACCCATAAAATTGTACTATAAAAATCCAACAGCTCACTATAAGTAATCGGTATGGTGATTATTGTTATTACTTTTTTTTTGGGCCCTGCATAAAAAGAAAAGAGAAAATACAAAAAGATTAAAAATATATTGGAAGAATATCAAAACATTTACTGACAGGAAGAGTATATTTGAATGCCTAGAGAATTGCCAAAGATTGATTGAGAAAGATTAAGCATGTAAAATTGAAAAATTTAATAGTGTATGTTTATTGATGAAAGCTCTATTGATAAAGAAAATTCAATTTAAGGAGAGAAATTCAAAATTAAATGTTTGAGGGCTCAATTAGATTTTTTTTCAAGGTTGAAGTGAATTTATTGAGGGATTAGTTGCAAGGAAAATTTATTTGTTAATCAATTTAGGCTTCAATTAGAAGAAATTAAAGTTTAGGGGTTGAATTGAAAATTATAAGAGTTAATTTGGTCAAATCAGGGACTTAATTACATAAATAAAAAAATTTGATAAATAAATAGAGACTTGATTGAAGAAATAAAAAATTAAGGACCAAACTAAAAAGACACATGAATCTAGAGGTTGAAATGAACTCAATATAATCAAAAGAAAAGATATAAAGATAAGATAGAAAAAACATGTGCGGTAGAAAGATCAGGTAGAGAGATTATACACTTAAGATCACATGTTTATTGCAAAAAAAAGTTTTATTATATAATAATCACAATAAAAAAATTTAAAAAAATAAATGTTCTTTCAATTTAAAATTTTATAAAACAATTACAAGTATGTAAAAAAAAGTCGATAAGAGTCAAGAAAAAGGGGTGCACAAGCATTTTTGTCAAAGCAACATGGTTCTCTATATTCACACGAGGTAGATGACATGGACAAAGCAAAACATAACAGGAATGGGGATAATTAGAACAATCGGGACGAGGATTTCAATTGCACTTAACAATTTTTTTACTTCTGGCCCTTCTTAATCCCGGAGCCCTACTTAACAGTTATGTTAGGGGGTACGCTAGTATTATCTGACGTTGATCTCGGCATTGGATAACCTCAAGCAGTGTTTGCTCAAGAACAGCGAGCAGCTGTTGTCTCGGAACGTAAATATGTAAACAAAAGGGAAACTTAAACCGAATGAAAATCCTTGACAGAATTACCGAATCCAATTACAGGTGGAAAAAAATAAAAAGGCAATTTGTAGTAAAAACTCAATGATCTCTGAGCCAAGCCCCCGCAAGGTATTCCAAGCTTATTTTACAAAATATTAACTCACCCCGTTTTTTTTTCCTTCCAAAAAACTATAAAAGAATAGAATTATGTTCTTAAATAGCACAAATGGCAAACAAATGGCCTTCAGTACATTTGAATAACGATTCATTACTTGGTGGCACAAAGGTTCTCTCGAGTGCCAAGTTCAATTATTGTAAAATTGATTCCTTCCAATTTGTTCCCCGGAATCGATGAGACTTAAATTTCTTTGTGAATCTCATTCCTTATAACTAAACTTTTCCTTTCCAATTTATTTTCATAATCTGTTTTTTTTCCTTTAACTGATCTTGATTCTCTCCAAACTTGATATCTTTATTTCCTACCCTAGTTAACTTCATGACATAATCAGTGTGACACAACCTAACCATCTCATTATGACGGGTAATTTTTCTAATTGAAAATACAATGAAACAGGCTGTCTATAAAAATTAGTTGACCTGAAATTTTTTTGTATTTTTCAATTGAAAAGATTACCTATTACAATGAAATCCATCATATTTTTGATTGGGACAAGTTGCCTATAAAAATTAGATTAATCTGAAAAACAAATCTTCATATATTTCATCAATGGACATGTTACCCATTACTACATTCGATTCCGAACATTTAGATGATATCACCCAATGATTGAATCAGCCAGATGACTTTCTAGTGACAAGAACAAGCAACAAACGAAGTATAAATATGGAGACGCCATGAAAACTAAGGAAAAGCCAAAGCTAAAAAGCTTCTTATTTATTTTAGTTTTATTTATGCCCAACACATGATAGTAGGCAATCGAACTCCGTCATACAGAATTGCAGCAGATAATATTACTGATCAATATCATCCTGACTCCATTTTAGGTGCTCTCTATGCATCTGGTTCAAACATCACATGAAGAGGGTCGACATTGGGAGCCAAGTGCTTGTCACTGTTGACGCCGGCTGGGACGCATGAGCATTCACAGAAGGGTTCGGACACTGGACAAAAAGAAAGCTGATAAAAATTATTATCACCTTCATACTTGGTGATCTTAAACCGATTCAATCCATCAACACCGCCTGTGGTCACAATGAATCCTTCCGATTCAATCAACCAAATAGTGTTTTACTCGTGCTGACCTTCGACAAAACTACAAATTATAGTCCTTTAGCAAAGAGTTGTCGTATAGGTTTTGAGCTCTTGCCTCTTGCTTACTTGATTTATCCCACAAAAGTGTTTTACTCGTGCTGGATAGGTTATATTTGATCCTATCAATTAACTTAAAATTTAAATCTCTTAAATATAAATAAATAAACTATATTCTTTTGAAACGAGAATTTTTTTACTCATTAATCGTTTAATAATTGATGAGCTTGACAACTCAAAAATAAACAAAGTCATCTAATCTATAAAAAACTTCAATTAAAACTACTAAATAAACCTTCAAAATAAAATTTAAGTTGTTAAGCTCGGAATCGGTCATTTAAAATGAGATTACATGTACTAGTATAAAATGATGATTTTTTTATAAATTGTCAAAAAAAATGTTACTTGATTTATCCTACATGATGGTGCATCAAAGTTCACATTTAGATAAGAGCCTTCGCGGATGGCACCATCGTTGGATTTTATAGCAGGTGAAAATGTTATTGGGAGGCTCTCGTTCAAAGTGGAAAGTATAACAATTAATTAAACAAATCCACAAAAATATAAATTATAGTGTTTTACTCGTGCCGACCTTCGATAAAACTACAAATTATAGTCCTTTAGCAAAGAGTTGTCATGTAGGTTTTGAGCTCTTGCCTCTTGCTTACTTGATTTATCCTATAATAGTATCACTATAAGATTTTATAGTTTTACCGATAAAAAAATTATGTTGGTGTATAATTAGAAGTTTGTCGGTGATTTTTTTACCGACATCATCATCGACGGATTATGTCCATCGGGTTACCTTTTTGTTGGTGAGTATATGAAATACCGACCGAATATATCC